GGGGCAAGGCATGATTACCTGCCGGCCACATATTGGATCGAGCTGATTCTTTGTGTGGTGACTCTAAGTAGTGCTGTGGACCGGTGTCCCCATTTTCAGGTCCTGCGGAGCACTCTAGGTTGGTTGTTTGGAAGATGAGCTAGTTTAGTTGATTTTTATGCGATTTCCGCTGCCTTTTGGGGCAAGGCACGATTACCTACCAGCCAAAGATTGGATTGAGCTGATTTTTTGTATGGTGACTCTAGTTAGTTCTACGAACCTCCCATCCCATTCTCAGCTCCTGCGGATCACCCTAGGTTGGTTGTTTGGAAGATGAGCTAGTTTAGCTGATTTTGCTGCGATTTCCGCTGCCTTATGGGGCAAGGCATGATTACCTGCCGGCCACATATTGGATCGAGCTGATTCTTTGTGTGGTGACTCTAAGTAGTGCTGTGGACCGGTGTCCCCATTTTCAGCTCCTGCGGAGCACTCTAGGTTGGTTGTTTGGAAGATGAGCTAGTTTAGTTGATTTTTATGCGATTTCCGCCGCCTTTTGGGGCAAGGCACGATTACCTGCCGGCCACATATTGGATTGAGCTGATTCTTTGTGTGGTGACTCTAAGTAGTGCTGTGGACCTTCCATCCAATTTTCAGGTCCTGCGGAGCACTCTAGGTTGGTTGTTTGGAAGATGAGCTAGTTTAGTTGATTTTTATGCGATTTCCGCTGCCTTTTGGGGCAAGGCACGATTACCTACCCGCCAAAGATTGGATTGAGCTGATTTTTTGTATGGTGATTCTAGTTAGTTCTATGAACCTCCCATCCCATTCTCAGCTCCTGCGGATCACCCTAGGTTGGTTGTTTGGAAGATGAGCTAGTATAGCTGAGATGGCTGCGATTTCCGCTGCCTTATGGGGCAAGGCATGATTACCTGCCGGCCACATATTGGATCGAGCTGATTCTTTGTGTGGTGACTCTAAGTAGTGCTGTGGACCGGTGTCCCCATTTTCAGCTCCTGCGGAGCACTCTAGGTTGGTTGTTTGGAAGATGAGCTAGTTTAGTTGATTTTTATGCGATTTCCGCTGCCTTTTGGGGCAAGGCACGATTACCTACCAGCCAAAGATTGGATTGAGCTGATTCTTTGTGTGGTGACTCTAGTTAGTTCTATGAACCTCCCATCCCATTCTCAGCTCCTGCAGATCACCCTAGTTTGGTTGTTTGGAAGATGAGCTAGTTTAGCTGATTTTGCTGCGATTTCCGCTGCCTTATGGGGCAAGGCATGATTACCTGCCGGCCACATATTGGATCGAGCTGATTCTTTGTGTGGTGACTCTAAGTAGTGCTGTGGACCGGTGTCCCCATTTTCAGGTCCTGCGGAGCACTCTAGGTTGGTTGTTTGGAAGATGAGCTAGTTTAGTTGATTTTTATGCGATTTCCGCTGCCTTTTGGGGCAAGGCACGATTACCTACCAGCCAAAGATTGGATTGAGCTGATTCTTTGTATGGTGACTCTAGTTAGTTCTATGAACCTCCCACCCCATTTTCAGCTGCTGCGGAACATTCTAGAATGGTTGTTTGGAAGATGAGCTAGTATAGCTGAGATGGCTGCGATTTCCGCTGCCTTATGGGGCAAGGCATGATTACCTGCCGGCCACATATTGGATTGAGCTGATTCTTTGTGTGGTGACTCTAAGTAGTGCTGTGGACCGGTGTCCCCATTTTCAGCTCCTGCGGAGCACTCTAGGTTGGTTGTTTGGAAGATGAGCTAGTTTAGTTGATTTTTATGCGATTTCCGCTGCCTTTTGGGGCAAGGCACGATTACCTACCAGCCAAAGATTGGATTGAGCTGATTCTTTGTGTGGTGACTCTAGTTAGTTCTATGAACCTCCCATCCCATTCTCAGCTACTGCGGATCACCCTAGGTTGGTTGTTTGGAAGATGAGCTAGTTTAGCTGATTTTGCTGCGATTTCCGCTGCCTTATGGGGCAAGGCATGATTACCTGCCGGCCACATATTGGATCGAGCTGATTCTTTGTGTGGTGACTCTAAGTAGTGCTGTGGACCGGTGTCCCCATTTTCAGGTCCTGCGGAGCACTCTAGGTTGGTTGTTTGGAAGATGAGCTAGTTTAGTTGATTTTTATGCGATTTCCGCTGCCTTTTGGGGCAAGGCACGATTACCTACCAGCCAAAGATTGGATTGAGCTGATTTTTTGTATGGTGACTCTAGTTAGCTCTATGAACCTCCCATCCCATTCTCAACTCCTGCGGATCACCCTAGGTTGGTTGTTTGGAAGATGAGCTAGTTTAGCTGATTTTGCTGCGATTTCCGCTGCCTTATGGGGCAAGGCATGATTACCTGCCGGCCACATATTGGATTGAGCTGATTCTTTGTGTGGTGACTCTAAGTAGTGCTGTGGACCGGTGTCCCCATTTTCAGGTCCTGCGGAGCACTCTAGGTTGGTTGTTTGGAAGATGAGCTAGTTTAGTTGATTTTTATGCGATTTCCGCTGCCTTTTGGGGCAAGGCACGATTACCTACCAGCCAAAGATTGGATTGAGCTGATTCTTTGTATGGTGACTCTAGTTAGTTCTATGAACCTCCCATCCCATTATCAGCTACTGCGGATCACCCTAGGTTGGTTGTTTGGAAGATGAGCTAGTTTAGCTGATTTTGCTGCGATTTCCGCTGCCTTATGGGGCAAGGCATGATTACCTGCCGGCCACATATTGGATCGAGCTGATTCTTTGTGTGGTGACTCTAAGTAGTGCTGTTGACCGGTGTCCCCATTTTCAGGTCCTGCGGAGCACTCTAGGTTGGTTGTTTGGAAGATGAGCTAGTTTAGTTGATTTTTATGCGATTTCCGCTGCCTTTTGGGGCAAGGCACGATTACCTACCAGCCAAAGATTGGATTGAGCTGATTTTTTGTATGGTGACTCTAGTTAGTTCTATGAACCTCCCATCCCATTCTCAGCTCCTGCGGATCACCCTAGGTTGGTTGTTTGGAAGATGAGCTAGTTTAGCTGATTTTGCTGCGATTTCCGCTGCCTTATGGGGCAAGGCATGATTACCTGCCGGCCACATATTGGATCGAGCTGATTCTTTGTGTGGTGACTCTAAGTAGTGCTGTGGACCGGTGTCCCCATTTTCAGCTCCTGCGGAGCACTCTAGGTTGGTTGTTTGGAAGATGAGCTAGTTTAGTTGATTTTTATGCGATTTCCGCCGCCTTTTGGGGCAAGGCACGATTACCTGCCGGCCACATATTGGATTGAGCTGATTCTTTGTGTGGTGACTCTAAGTAGTGCTGTGGACCTTCCATCCAATTTTCAGGTCCTGCGGAGCACTCTAGGTTAGTTGTTTGGAAGATGAGCTAGTTTAGTTGATTTTTATGCGATTTCCGCTGCCTTTTGGGGCAAGGCACGATTACCTACCAGCCAAAGATTGGATTGAGCGGATTCTTTGTGTGGTGACTCTAAGTAGTGCTGTGGACCTTCCATCCAATTTTCATCTACTCGGAGCACTCTAGGTTGGTTGTTTGGAAGATGACATAAAACGCCGGATTTTACTGCGATTCAGGCCGTCGTATGGGGCAAGGCCTGATTTCCTATCCTAGACGATATTAGTCCAATAGTCAGTAGTCAGTAGGTTTTGTTAAATGAAACCATGGTTACAAATTTCTTGATCGTAGGTTCAGTTAATATTTTTGTTCAATTCTATAAATGGCACATTTTTTTATGCATACGTCTTATCACTTATGTGCACACCAGGGCTCGTATACAGTGTTGTGTCTAAAACGTGAATAGCATTGCATTTGACTTTCGAAAGTTTGAAGTCGTGGTATGAGGCACAGGGAATCAGGCACTGCACGCACACACCAACCCTATCCTGAAGGCTGCAAACCTAATTTCATCAAGGTTCCCGATCCGCCTCATCGCGATTCGTGTATTGCATCTCATATCGTGCCCCCAGGTCGCGCCGTCAGCGACTCGTCGTAATCACATGGCTGTCGCGCCTCTAGCTAGCTCGCACTGTAGCGTTATTCCCCGTCACGATGTCCATCCGCTACCTTATACTGAATGGCCTTCTCGCTATTCATCGACTCTTTGTAGCGGGTGCGTATTTAAACGCCACGGCGATATGCAGAGGCAAAGGAACGACGGACTAATGTCGCGCTGCCATGGATCGTTCTAGTCCTGTTCGGTGTGCACACTGTGAACGAGAGTTTTCAGACTGTTTCGCGCTAGGAAGGCACCGGGCTGGCAACACACCCTGCAACCCCAACTCTGCAGAGCATCGCGCAGGCAGTGGTCCTAGGCGCCCTAACATAGCCTACATTGTGCCTGCATCGCTCCCGCGCTTCGTCAGACATGGCAGTTCCGCGCCTCAAGATGCAACTCAGGAGACACTGCCAACCTCGTCTAGTGGCGTGGGCTGTGAGAGTCGTGTTGATCCTGAGGGATCTTCTCCACATCCCTCAACGCCCCAGTCGTCCAGCCAAGGGGCGGAGCAGCCCCCAACCACATGTCCAGATAATCCTGGATCCGGTTCTGCTGCCAGGCCTTCGTTTCCCGATGGCAGCGACATCCATCCCGCTTTGATACACCTGTTGGAGCAACTCGATTCGCTGAATGGCGGCATGGGCTTATCGAACATGGATACTAACAAGGTGCTGCAGCTAATTATCCATCCAGGGTTGGCCCCGCTGCTGGTAGAGGGGAATGTCCGTAGCTTCCGGGATGTGGAGAGGCTACAGAAGGAATATCTGGCTGACACGGGACGTGGATTCGAGTCGACCACATTTTATGTGGAGGGCTTTCCACCGCAAGTGATGCTTCACCGCGATCCACTGAGGGTGAGTTTGCTGACGTAGTTTCGGGTACCCGGGATGAAACTGAAGGGCATTGGCTTGACTACATGTCCTGGCGGCATCATGCGTCACTCTCATACTGTGTAGGGTGCTAACCGGCCTGTGTACGTGCTGTATATGATATTGCAGGCCCTGGCGGATATGTTTCGGCACAAGCACAATGCGCCTGGCTTCAGAATGGGACCGAGGAGAGACAAGGACAGCGAGAGTGGGCATCGGGCATATTCCACTGCAGAAACTGGCACATGGTGGCAAGAAGCACAGGTGAGTGCTATTGATAGCTATTTGCAGTTGTGAGAGATGGTGAGTGATGAGAGGGGAGGTGCAGAGATTGTGAGTGATGGGACGGGAGGTGCAGAGATTGTGAGTGCAAGGTGATGGGTAGTTTACACTCCCCTCACATCACTCGCACCTTGCATATGTTCCAAACCTACCACTCACCATGCATGGTCCCGGCTTTCAGCTGGTGTGCCCTTTTCGAGTCAGCAATGTTTACCGCCCAGAGACATTGCCTTTCCCCTCGACCCAATCTATCCATTCTTTGCGTTATGTGCAGGAATTCATTGGCATGGACAAGATTGTTGCGGCGCTGATACTGTACAGTGATGTCACGCACTTGAGCAACAACGGAAGGAAGAAGGCGCACCCGGTCATGATGACACTGGGGAATATTGCATTCCCAAAACGCTGGGGGCGGCCTGGGCACTCCCTGCTGGCGCTGTTACCCATCCCACCCTCGAATATGCCGTCGCACTTGAAGGTGGAGCTTTACAACGCGTGTATTGCTAAGCTACTTGAGCCACTTCTCCGCCTTAAAGACAAGTGAGTGGTGCAAATGCTGGTGTTTATCGAAACTTTATCTATTTGGTGAGTCATGCCCCATAAAAGGAGTGCGGCACTTGGAAGTAATGAATATTGTTAACCTGCATGTGTTTTCACCCTGTGTCATGGCTGCCCGAAAACTGTGCAGTGGTGTCATGCTGCTGGACTCAGAAGGCATCGAGCGATGGGTCGTTCCTTTGCTTTACGCTTGGGCTTGTGACTATCCCGAGTCCGGGAAACTGACATGCACCAAATCTGGCCAGGGCTGCATGAAGCCGTGCAGCCTCTGCTATGTCGACAGGGTACGTCAACATGTACACTCTGGGTGGGGATGTGCTGGGATGGGAGGTGCTGGGATGGGGATGGTGAGTGATAGTATGGTGAGTGATGGGATGGTGAGTGCTGGGATGGTGAGTGCTGGGACGGTGAGTGCTCGGATGCTGAGTGATAGTATGGTGAGTGATGGGATGGTTAGTGCTGGGATGGTGAGTGCTGGGATGGTGAGTGATAGTATGGTGAGTGATGGGATGGTTAGGGCTGGGATGGTGAGTGCTGGGATGGTGAGTGATGGGATGGTTAGTGCTGGGATGGTGAGTGCCCGGATGGTGAGTGCTGGGATGGTGAGTGCTGGGATGGTTAGTGCTGGGATGGTGAGTGCTGGGATGGTGAGTGCTGGGATGGTGAGTGATGGGATGGTGAGTGCTGGGATGGTGAGTGATGGGATGGTGAGTGCTGGGATGGTGAGTGCTGGGATGGTGAGTGCTGGATGGTGAGTGATAGTATGGTGAGTGATGGGATGGTTAGTGCTGGGATGGTGAGTGCTGGGATGGTGAACAAGTCGCAGCTTTTGAACATCGATCGGTCATGCAGGTATGATGCTTTGAGGCCTAAACCATGGAGTGGTGGAAGGGGGAGGGTGGGAAGAGTGGGGCGAGCTGGGCAGGGACGGAAGAGGAAGGGGAGAGAAGATGGGCTGGTGGAGAGGGCACTGCTATGTTGGTTCATGCAAATGTAGTGATGTGTCGGTCTGTTGTCAAGCTCGTCTGTAAACTCGCTTGAAGTCATTCATGGGAAGAAGATCCTTCAATATTTTCTCTCACCTTTCCTACTCACCATGCTGCATGCATCCAGGTGTTGATCTTTTTGGTGGCTGACGTTGTCGGCTCGCCCCAGCTGGAGGCCATCAGAGCATACCTTGACTGGTATCTCTGCTGCAACGCCGCCTCTCACACCGAGAGAAGTCTTTCCGAACTACAAGCCAAATCAACAAGGTACCTCACCAAACGATACAACCTAAACCATCTAACTCCCCTAGCGATTCCATCCCTAACACATTGAACGCTTATCCATATACTCCTTCATTTATTCATGCTCCCACCCATCCCAGGCTGGTGAAACTACTCACGACTGCCTTCCCCGAGCAGAAATCAAAGTGGAACCTCATCAAAACACACTTGATGACTCATTTCATCCCTGGAATTCGACGAGCTGGGAATGTGCAAGAGTACAGCACCAACCTCTTCGAACACCTGCATAGCACCCTGCTGAAGCAAATCTACAGGAGATCGAATAAGCGGAAAGTGGACACGCAGATCATGAAGCACCACGAGATGAAGCTTGACTCCATCAGCAACGTGGCCACCGACCAAGGCGTACAAACGGCTATGCAAAAGGTAGGTTCTGTGAGAGGAGGTGCTGAGATGGTGAGTGCGGTGATGGGAGGGTGTGTGCTGAGATGGTGAGTGCGGTGATGGGAGGGTGAGTGCTGAGATGGTGAGTGCGGTGATGGGAGGGTGAGTGCTGAGATGGTGAGTGCGGTGATGGGAGGGTGAGTGCTGAGATGGTGAGTGCGGTGATGGGAGGGTGAGTGCTGAGATGGTGAGTGCGGTGATGGGAGGGTGAGTGCAGAGAAGGTGAGTGCGGTGATGGGAGGGTGAGTGCTGAGATGGTGAGTGCGGTGATGGGAGGGTGAGTGCTGAGATGGTGAGTGCAGTGATGGGAGGGTGAGTGCTGAGATGGTGAGTGCGGTGATGGGAGGGTGAGTGCTGAGATGGTGAGTGCGGTGATGGGAGGGTGAGTGCTGAGATGGTGAGTGCGGTGATGGGAGGGTGAGTGCTGAGATGGTGAGTGCGGTGATGGGAGGGTGAGTGCTGAGATGGTGAGTGCGGTGATGGGAGGGTGAGTGCTGAGATGGTGAGTGCGGTGATGGGAGGGTGAGTGCAGAGAAGGTGAGTGCGGTGATGGGAGGGTGAGTGCTGAGATGGTGAGTGCGGTGAGTAGGAGTGCCTGGCGGGACAGCTCGGGCTGAGTGGCAAGGAAAGTTTGCCGGCAGGTCCTTGGTGGGTAGCAGGGGAAGAGTTAGCTCAAGGCAGGAGAGGGGGCAGTGAAATGAGGAAGTGCAGGGCAGGGAGTGGAGCAGGGGAAGGGGGAGAATGGTGTGCTCGTTGCTGCTGGTTGCTGCGATTCGGAGATTTTTTTCCAATCTCTGCCTTTTCTGACACGTGTCAGGCCATCGAGGATGGAGCTCGGGTGATGGTGAAGGAGTCCTACTTCTTCCCCGTGAAACCCGATGACGTCACTCCCATTGCCAACTGGTTTGTCCGTGAGTGGGCGAAGCTCCACAGCGAGGCACACCATGCCTTTGCGGGTGCATTGCTTCGACGCCAGCTGAGGCCAACAAAAGTTCGTGTAAGTGGTGACAATGGTGACATAAAGCAGATACCATATGTAACTGAATGTTATTTGTACTGATTTGTGTCTCTTACTGGTTGCAGGCTCACACAACACTTGCCATCCCTGCTGCAGAAGATTCTAGTTTCGTCCGTGTAGCACATTTCGTGAAAGCAACCCCGCTGTCTCACTCTAGGCCGTGGTTCTCTGATGTTGCCATCGTGGGAACAACGGCGACTGGTGCAGAGACAGAGTGGTACGGAAGGCTCTTGTTGCTGTTCCATACGAAAGAGGGGGTGCACGAAGGAGTGGGCATATGTAAAGTACTGGTCAAGCGCAGGTGAGGATGCAAAAACAGGGTGCAAACGTCTTAGGTGGGCAACTGGGGTATCGCGCTACTCAGTGATTGACACTGAAAGCATACTGCGCCAGGTGCACATTATCAAGTCTTACCACAGCGACAATGCATTCTATCTTAACAAGTACCTGCTAAATTAGAAATAAATCATAAGCGCATCTGTACTTTTTTCATAGACAACCAAACTGGTTTTGTAATAAGAGGCAAGATTACATGCAATAACAACTTATGACTTTACAGGTTATATATTTACATGCACATGTGATTGTTTAACCAGCAGCCTTTCAATATTATAAGACATAATAATGACTTCATGTAAAATTTGTTTAAAATAAACACTGTAGGCTCATCTTGGTCCATAATTACTCCTATCCGAAACCAATTTTGCAGGGCCCAAACGCGCCCTATCGCCACGTCTGGTCGTGCGCCAAGCAAAGCTGTGGCTCGGTGACCCAGAAATGTTTGCGGGAAACCAACGCACCCCATTCTCGAAACTGCTATTTCAACCTGGTCAAAAGAGCACTGTACACCTGACATTGACCGAAATTGGGCCAATTTCGCTTCGCCGAGGCGCACAATGTCTCGCGAGTCGGTTCGGATGCGCGAAAACAGATCGAAATTTGAGAACGACACATTTTCGCTGGTGGTTGGGCGAAAAAAGTTGGACAACCCACACAACCCAACTTCCGAAACCAATTCGACCCATTTCCAAGCGATTCAAAAGCGAGGGGTTTTTGTGATGCCCACTCAAATGTGCGACTCCGCATCTGGGCTGGTGGGGTACAAAAGGGAAGCACAACCTCACTCGAACCATCATCAACAATTCAAGCCATCCGCATTCAAAACAACTCAACTTCTGTTCCTTCGTTCTAGTAGTACAACTAGTTTTAAGCCAACCAGCGTGTGAAGTAAGCGTCACAGCTGATTTCACAATGATGCGCGGTCCGAAAATCGTGATGCTGCTGCTTCTGGGGGCATTCCTGCTGTCTGCGCAGCCAACGAGTGCAATCCGCGAGTCAGCTTGGCGCCTGAACCGCGCATGGCGCAACGGCGGAGAGAATGCGCACCTCGCGGCACCCTCGAAGGAAAACTCCGGCGAATTTGCGGCGCCAACAGCTGACGGTTCCGCCGTCTACATCGTTCGCTTGAATGCCGCGCCTCCCCTTTGCGAATACCACGGCGGAATTGCGGGCTACCCTGCCACAGCCACGTAGGACGACGGCAGCGACGAGGAGGACATTGATGCCGTGCCGCAAATGATTCTCCCCGCCGGCGATTCCGCCGCCGCAGCAGGCGGCGAAACCGTCGATCTGGACGACACCGACGGCGACCAGCTGCTCTCAAACGCGACGGCGCCATCCCCGCCCGCAAACGGCTCATCTGACGCCGCTGCAACTCCCAACGCTCGCGGCGGTCGCGGTGGCAGTGGTAACGGTAACGGAGGTCGTAACGGTGGCGGCGGGTGCCCGCGGCACCGGCTGAGTCTGAGCATGGACCGCCCCCAGGTGGCTGCATTCGCGGGGCTGCTGCAGAGGCAGCAGGCGCAGGTGGCATCTGAGGCGGGCGTACCCGAGGACGGGCTGCTCTACAGCTACAAGAACACGTCCAACGGCTTCGCCGCGCGCCTCACGGCGCGCCAGCTGTGGCGGCTGCGGCGCCACCCCGCCGTGGCGTCCGTCCGCGCCAGCCGCGTGTTCCGGCGGCAGACCAGCGACTCGCCGCAGTTCCTGGGGCTGCCCGGGAAGGTGTGGCCGGCAGTGGGCGGGCAGAGCAAGGCGGGCGAGGGCACGGTGGTGGGGATCGTGGACACGGGTATCTGGCCCGAACACCCGTCCTTCAGCGATAAGGGCCTCTCCTCGCAGCTGCCCGCGGGGTGGAAGGGCAAGTGCGAGCAGTCGAGCTCGTTCCGGTGCAACAACAAGTTGATCGGCGCCAAGGCCTTCTATGCCGGGTTCCAGCAGAGCAGCGGCAAGCCCGTGCTGACCAACGACTGGCTCTCGCCGCGAGATGCGGACGGCCATGGCACGTGGTGCGCGGGGGTAGCTGCGGGGAACCCCGTGAAGGTGAAGGGCGGCGGGCAGGTGAGCGGCATGGCGCCGGCAGCGCGCATTGCGGCGTACAAGGTCTTCTGGACGGACGGCAACGGGGACATGTACGCCACGGAGGCAGATATCATCGCAGCCGTCAATCAGGGCGTGGCGGACGGTGTGGATGTGCTGTCGCTGTCTCTGGGCGGCGTGAATCCCGAGGACAACTATTTCAACGATCTCGCTTTCATGCGCGCCAATGCTGCCGGGGTGTTTGTCGCCTTTGCTACCGGCAACGCCGGGCCTCTCGGTCGTGGAGGGTTCTACCGCACGCTTGACAACTTCGCACCCTTCTATCTCACGGTTGGCGCCAGCACCATTGCCCGAGGCGGCGCCTCCCTCGCCTCCTCAACTGCCGGTGCCACCACCAGCAGCAACGGCACGGATGGCAGCACAGGCGGCAACTTCAATGGCAACGGCACGGACGCGGACGGTGGGATCACATTCACCACTGCATCCTCGTCCGCCCCGGTGGTGGCTGACTTCTCTTCCCGCGGCCCCCTGCTGCAGCCGTCCGCCACGGCCCAGCCGCCCAAGCCAGGCAACGCCATCCTGAAGCCCGACATCATCGGCCCCGGAGTCGACCTCGTAGCCGCTGCTCCCGGCAACAAACCCGGCGACCCTGGTGCCCTCGCCCGCATGTCGGGCACTTCCATGGCCACCCCGCATTTGGCGGGGCTAGCCGCTTTAATCATCCAGAAGTACCCCAACTGGACCCCGGCGCAGGTGATGTCAGCGCTGATGACGACGGCGCGGGTGACGGACACGAGCAAGAGCGCCATCAAGAGTGCGACGGGCGGGGAGGCCACCCCGTGGGAGATGGGCGCAGGCCACGTGTTCCCCCCGGCCATGCTCGACCCCGGGCTCACCTACGACGCCCGCGACCACGACTACCAGAACTTCCTGGCCGGGCAGGACCTCAACCGCGCCAAAAAGGAGTTCCCAGGGGTGCCGCTCTCCCCTCTGGCTGTCCGCAACCTCAACCTGCCCACCATCACTCTGCCCCGCCTGCAGGGCTCCCTGCAGGTCACCCGCACCGTCACCAACGTGGGGCAGTCCCGGTCCACATACAGTGTATCTGGGAAGCCCCCGCAGGGCGTGAAGGTGACTGTGGGGCCTAGGAGCCTCACGCTGGCTCCCGGGGAGAAGGGGAGCTACACAGTGACGGTAACGGTGGATACCCCCAGTAATGACTTCAAGTATGGGTTTCTAGTCTGGGCGGACGACCAGGGCCACAGCGTGCGGTCCCCCCTCGTGGTGCAGCCCATCTCTCGCTGAGGAGGGGAGAGCAGTGTGAGGCTCTTTCACGCTAAGAGGCGGGATGCTGTTTTTGGTATAGCTGTGGGCGTGGGTGCTGCAGTGGATACAGCCCCATGTGATTATTGAGAGAGAAAGTGCCACTACTCGTGGCAAGGGGCATGGCAGGGCGTATTGCAATGGAACAGCATGGTGGGTGCAGCATTAGCGCTCATGTGTGTGTTGAGCTGGTTATGAAATGATGGTGTGGCATTGGTTTTTGTTGTACTGGGTGCTATTTATTTGTGATATTGACCATGTGGAAAAAGTCGCAGACGTTTTTAACCAGACGAACAGCACACCATTGCTTACAGTCCTGACTTAAGCACAGGCACCCATGGGCTTGCTGGCTGCCCCCCATGGGCTCACTGGGCGCCCATGAGCTCGCTGGGGACCCACGTGCTCGCTGGCTGCCCGCCATGGGGGCTCAAGTGTTCGCTGGGAGCCAGAAGGTGCTGTGCTTGGCAAGGGGCTTGGCAAGGAAGTGCGATGCGGTTGTGGCAGGTGGGATGCGGTCATTGCAGGTGAGACTTGGTTTTGGCGGATTGAAGGATGTGGGCCAGATGGGGGTACGGCGTGGATGGGGGTATGGGGTGGATGGGGGTATGGGGTGGATGGGGGAATGGGGTGGATGGGGGAATGGGGTGGATGGGGGAATGGGGTGGATGGGGGTATGGGGTGGATGGGGGAATGGGGTGGATGGGGGAATGGGGTGGATGGGGGTATGGGGTGGATGGGGGAATGGGGTGGATGGGGGAATGGGGTGGATGGGGTTATGGGGTAGATGGGGGTATGGGGTGGATGGGATGGGGGTATGGGGTGATGGGGTTATGGGGTGGATGGGGGTATGGGGTGGATGGGGGAATGAGTTGGATGAGGGAATGGGGTGGATGGGGTTATGGGGTAGATGGGGGTATGGGGTGGATGGGGTTATGGGGTGGATGGGGGAATGGGGTGGATGGGGGCATGGGATGGATGGGGGTATGGGGTGGATGGAGGTATGGGGTGGATGGGGTATGGGGTGGATGGGGGTATGGGATGGATGGGGGAATGGGGTGGATTGGGGTATGGGATGGATGGGGGTATGGGATGGATGGGGGTATGGGCTGGATGGGGGTATGGGATGGATGGGGGTATGGGCTGGATGGGGGTATGGGGTGGATGGGGTTATGGGGTAGATGGGGGTATGGGGTGGATGGGGGTATGGGGTGGATGGGGGTATGGGTTGGATGGGGGTATGGGGTGGATGGGGGAATGGGGTGGATGGGGGCATGGGATGGATGGGGGTATGGGGTGGATTAGGGTATGGGGTGGATGGGGTTATGGGCTGGATGGGATGTGGGTTGGATGGGGGAATGGGGTAGATGGGGTTATGGGGTGGATGGGGGTATAGGATGGATGTCGGTATTTGGCGGATGGGGTTATGGGGTGGATGGGGGTATGGGGTGGATGGAGGTATGGGGTGGATGGGGGTATGGGGTGGATGGGGGTATGGGATGGATAGGGGTATGGGGTGGATGGGGTTATGGGTTGGATGGGATGTGGGTTGGATGGGGAAAGGGGTGGATGGGGTTATATGGTGGATGGGGTTATGGGGTGGATGGAGGTATGGGATGGATGGGGGTATGGGGTGGATTGGGGGTATGGGCTGAATGGGGTTATGGGATGGATTGGGGTATGGGGTGGATGGGGGTATCGGGTGGATGGGGGTATGGGATGGATGGGGGAATGGGGTGGATTGGGGTATGGGATGGATGGGGTTATGGGTTGGATGGGATGTGGGTTGGATGGGGGAATGGGGTGGATTGGGTTATGGGGTGGGGTATAGGATGGATGTCGGTATTTGGCGGATGGGGTTATGGGGTGGATAGGGGTATGGGGTGGATGGGGGTATGGGGTGGATGGAGGTCTCGTATGGATGGAGGAATGGGGTGGATGTGGGTATGGGATGGATGGGGGAATGGGGTGGATTGGGGTATGGGGTGGATGGGGTTATGGGTTGGATGGGATGTGGGTCGGATGGGGGAATGGGGTGGATGGGGTTATGGGGTGGATGGGGGTATGGGGTTGCCGGAAAAGCCTAAACCCGAAACACTGAGCCCGCTCGCGAGAGACTTCACTGGATCCTACGACGATGCAGTAAACCCACGCCCCTACGACAAAAAGACATACCTGACCATCTACCCCCTTGGGTGCAACCCCGACGCCACGCAAGAGGAAGACGGGGAAGAATTGGAGTGCTGCGAAGCAGCAAAGCTTCGACGACAAAACGAAACCCAAGGACGCGGCACCCTTGCTTTTGGCGCATGGGGAGCAGGCGGCGACGACGGCGCCTCCCATGAAGGCGGAAGGGGAAGCTCCCAAGGGTGGGGGTCAGGCAACGGCAGAACATGGAACAATAGACAAGGCACATGGGCCACCGCGACATAGATTGGGGAACCACAACTGGTGGATGGGGTGGCACCGGCGGCGAATGGGGTGACTCAGGCGGAACCTCGGGCAACTAGCACAGCCGAGAGGATCAAAAGGGGGGAACCTACGAAGAAACTGCACCAACTGTTGTTCCCCTCGGCCGCCCTCCGCGTCTGCCTACACGGCCACCTCCACCCGAAGGCATCATGCCGTTGCGCGACCCATGATTGACTGGGAAAACTATACGCCAACCCCCCGTCGCACCATTTAGGGCCCGGACCCCGAACAGCGCGAGCACGGGCTTGTCCGAGGCACCATTGTGGGATGAACATGTTGTTCTTTGTCATCTCCGACCACAGCTTCCTCGAGCTGATGTTGTCAAGAACGACTGTAGAAGAAATTAGAGGAGGAAGAAGGAGCGACAGAACTTGAACCCGTAGTTGAAGAAGTCCCCGCCAACATGTACGTGCGATATCTACGCACTCTTGGAGTTACCCGTACTTGAAGAAGTCCCCGCCAACATGTACGTGCGATATCTACGCACTCTTGGAGTTACCCGTACTTGAAGAAGTCCCCGCCAACATGTACGTGCGATACCTACGCACTCTTGGAGTTCGTGCAATTGACGATCTTTGGCATTAGCACTTCGGACATACCTCGCGCCAAACACTTAATAACATCATCATTGCCAAAGTGTTCGCACTCGGAGAAATCTTGCGCCCCAATGGAACCAAGCTAAAGAGCACGTCTTAGCTGCACATCCGCATTGTCTTCCCCTAAGCCGCGTCAACTCATATGCCTTTTCCCTTGCTAGACCCTGGCACCAATTGATACCAGAAGTTGCACAAGGTGTACGGCGACATTTTTTTCATCGGCCACTACGGAATCAACAACGAAGGCTACACGCTGACATTCGTGGACGCAAGGGCGCGCTATGTCCGGATTGCTAACGTTCAGCTTTGTAGCAGGGTGTACGATGTGTTTCACCTCTGGCTGGCTCACGCGCAATGACAGACACGGAAGAAATTACAGATGTGGAAAACATACGGCACGGCGGAATTTCGCAGCACAGAGCTCCAGGATTTCCTCGGCCAGATAGGAATCCTGAATCACATCTTTCTCCCCTACGTGCATCTGCAGAAAAGGAGTCACCGAGCAAACTAATCACACGTTCATGACAAAGGTGCGCACACTGCTAAAGTAGCTAGGACTCCCCGCCACATACTGGTTGTACTCTGTGCATCATGCCGTACGGCTGCACAACCTACTGGGCATACGCTATGCATCATGCCGTACGCACCCAACGAACATCCCAGAGTCCATCCACACCGTCGTGACAAAGACGACGACGACAATGAAGACGAAGCGTCACTCAGACCATCACTCATGAGTCGTAGAGACTTTGCACCATCCGCCTCACTTGCACCCGAGAGTGACGACGACGACGTGCAGAAAGTCATTCCCAAACACCGCCACAACATTACAGTGTCCGGGCTACATATGCTTGGCCCCGCGAGTTATTGAGCCGAAGAACCCAAGACAGGCTCTCACAAGGCCGAAGAGCGCAGAGCTGAGAGCACTTGAGTCCCGCGACACCTGGGTGCTCATCAATCGAGCCGCAATCGAGGGAAGGCGAGTGCTATCAGGAAATGGGTCTTCCGCATGAAAATCGTAGCCAGCAGCTCCATTGAGCCCTTCAAGGCCCGTTGAGTCGTACGTGGTTATGACCAATGACACGGTATCGATTTCGACCAGACATTCGCCTTTGTGAGTTGGAAATCACATGTGCACATCCTGCTAGCCATCACCGCAGCAAGGCACCTACCGCTCAGACATATCGATATGAAGAATGTGTTCCTATACGCATTATTCGACGGCGTGATATACATGGCGCAGCCACACCCTTATGGCAAAGGGGATCCAATATTTTGCCAGCTGAGGATGTCACTGTGCGGGATGAAGCAGGCACCAAGGCTGGTGCAACATCATCTTCACAAAATCCTGCTCAAAATTGGATTCACTTAGCTGGCCCATAATCTCGGAATGTACCGCCTTCACTTCTACGGTGATTACATCCTTCTCACAGTTTACGTCGACGACTCGTAGTACACAGGGACGAGCAAAACACTAAATAAGTTCAAGAGGAATCTGGGCCAGCACGTTCGACATCACCACCAACCACAACGTGACGCAGTTCCTATGACTTAACATCTCCTATGCTCCTGAATCCATTCACTTCTCAGCATCGAAGTACGCTGAAACACTTGGGGAGCGCTTCAACATGTCACGCGCACCACTCTCAACTCCATACCGCACGCTTGGACCGAACTACAAACTAGAGAACAAAGCCCTTTTCCCCTGCAGGTATACACACTTACCAGCAACAACTGGGTTGCCTGCTTTTTGCCCCTGTCACCTGCAGGCCCGATCTCTCGTACATCGCAAGCCAAATGACTCAGTACTCTTGCAAGCCGGTGGGTGAGAATCTTCTGGACCTTCGGCGCGCCCCGCAATACTTCATCACAACACCCAACGTCAGGCTCTCCAACTCAACATTCATGACCTTGCCATTCAAATTCATCGAATAGGTGGACGACGATCACGCAGCTGGTCCAGACAATCGACGGCCGAGAATAGACTTCCTCTTCCAGCTCGAACCGATAAGGCCAATCTCGTGGAATACCCAAAAATAGGAGCTGGCTGGCTTGTCGCCGGCGGAAGCAGAATCCGCCGCCGCCACCGCTGCAGTTCGCAAAGGGTTTAGGGTCTCGCTGCATCTACAGGATCTCGTGCAGGAACAAAAATTCCGACATCTCCAACCTTTCGTCTCCACTGTGACAACCAAAGCACGATCAGGATCGCGAACAAGCCTGGCTTCGTCAACTGCACTAAGCATATTGCGTTGCAATACTTTTTTCGTCAAAGACGGCGAAATTGACAAGGGGAAGGTTGACCTGGCGTACTGTCCTACCGGTAACATGGCAGCTGACTTCCTCATGAAGCAACTGTCACGTCAGCATTATCAGCACTACGCCAACCTCAGCGAGGTAGTCAAGTGAGTCAAAACTTGCTACGCACATGAATAGAGAGGGGTGTTAATATGGAATTGGGTTGGCATTCCTATACGTAACATAGTTGTAGCAGTACCGATGATGAAGATGAAGGGCCAGAATATATCGAAGGGTCGGAAACGGTTGGAGCATTGGGACCGTTGCAGGCAAATGCATTAGTGAGGGAAAAGGCGGGAACTGGTTTGAATTAAAGGGTGCATTCGTAGATGGACACAAGTGTCTCAATGACATTTTTCCCAAGCCTCGTTTACACATTTAATCAATTTCGCATCTCAAAGCGTGAATGTATCTTGATACTGTGCGAACAGGCAACGTGTACAGTTGGGCGCGTCTTATTGGGTTTATCAGCCAGCAGGGTCAATGAATTCTTCTCGCAACGGGCAGGGACACACCATGTTCGCGTTGAAAGAGATCTGGGTGGTGAGGTAGGATGGGGTGTGGTTTCGGCGGGAAAGTTTAGCGCCTGGCAGGGAAGACAAGCATGATCGCTTTCAAGTCGTTTTTGGGTTGCGCGAGGCCACAATGTTTCTTTTCCCGCGTGAAAATGGCATTATGCATGGTGTCCAGGTGCATCGGTCGATGAAAGCGTCGCGCACTTCATGCACTGGCTCGATCAGGAGACAGTGGCCCCTCCGAAGACGAACACGTAGCCGCCCGTGCTCGTCCGGTTCTGCTTGTTGCCTGCGTCGTCAGCGTCGACGTAACCGACCAGACACAGTGTCTCTGGTCCACCGCCAAATTCCAGGGCGGTGTCACGGGTGTCTGCGAGGTAGTGCAGGCAGCGATCGACCTCGCGCCAGTGGTTGCCGCTCTGCATCG